GTCAGCTTCTTAGATGACTGTCTGTAGGAAGCAAGTCTATAGGGGCAAAAACTGGTGTGGCAATCAAGTCTAAACACTGTTAGTGTTATCTTCCTCCATGTGCTCTTATCTATGGAAAAATTAATTTAGGTCTTTTGAAAACTCTGTGGAATCAGCCTTTTCATATCCAGGAACACCATGAGCTTTCTCTTATTGCTGCTAATAGTGCTAACTCATTTTTTGTGTTTTTCAGTTTTTTAAGTGTTTGTATTTTATGTCAGCCTCCTCAGTGGAAGTCCTGCGGTATACACAGCTATACTATACAGTCACATATCTGTCTGAGAACTTTCTTGGATGTGATGACAGGGCTTAAAAAGCTTCATTGTGGCCGGGCTCGGTGGCTCAGCCTGTAATCCCACGCCTTTGGGAGGCTGAGGTGAGTGGATTGCCTGAGCCCGCGGGTTCGAGACCCACCTGGACAGCGAGACCTCATCTCTACAATAAATCAAAAAATCAGCCGGGCGTGGTAGCGCATGCCTGTAATTCTGGCTACTTGGAAGGCTGAGGCGGAAGGATCGCCAGAGCCCAGCAGGTCGAGGCTGCGGCAGCCGGGAGCGGCCACTGTACTCCGGTCTGGGCGACAGAGTGAGACTCCAACTCAAAAAAAAAAAAGCTTCATTGTGTTTCTAGAACATTCTAAATGAAAAAGGTTCAGTACATGTCATTCTTATAAGAGAAACTCAATGGAAATGTTTAGCGTGCTTTGATATATATATAATGGCTAAAATCGATGCCTGGTGCAGTGACTCACACCTGTAGCCCTAGTTGGGAGGCTAAGATGAGAGGATTACTTGAGCCCAGGAGTTCAAGACCAGTCTAGGCAACGTAGTAAAACATCGTCTCTAAAAAAAAAATTTTTTTTTAAAGCCAGGCATACTGGTGTATGCCTGTAGTCCCACCTGCTTGGGAAGCTGAGGTTGAAGGATCACCTGATCCCAGGACATCAAGACTACAGTGAACCATGATTGTACCTCTGCTCTCCAGCCTCAGTGACAGAGTGAGGCCCCAACTCAAAAAAAAATTTTCTAATTTCCCTGTTTTAATGGTCAGAAAAGAAAAATAATGCGACTGGACTTGGTGGCTCAGCCTGTAATCCCAGCACTTTGGGAGGCCGAGGCAAGTGGATTGCCTGAGCCCATGGGTTTGAGACTAGCCCAGGCAACTTGGCGAGATCTTGTCTCTACAATAAATTAAAAAATTAGCCAAGCGTGGTAGCATGCACCTGTAGTACCGGCTATTTGGAAGGCTAAGGCGAAAGGATTGCTGGAGCCTAGCAAGTCGACTCTGGGGTAACCATGAGTGTGCCACTGCACTCCAACCTGGGTGACGGAGTGAGACTCCAACTCAAAAAAAAAGAAAAATAATGCCTTCTTTTTGACTATAAAGGCAGCTGCCAGAGTCTACACAGCAGAATTTAAAGCTGAAGATGTAGTAAAATCTTACCCAACAAGTAAGATATTTACAGAGAAGAAACTTAAAAAAAAATTTCGAGTGAGTTCCCAAATTTCAGGAAAAACAAAGTCAGAACATAAGCATGATTTAATTGCAAAAAGTTAATCAGGCCTCAATCTGTGCACACCATGCAGAAATGGGCTAACATTTTAGTAGGAGAAAGAAAAAGAAGACTCAAGACAGTTCAGTTTGATTATAGGTGAGTCATTTTCCCATACCTGAGAGGGTATAGAAAGTCCATCTTTGGAGAGAATGTCAAGAATACCTCTCCTTTATGGAAGGTATAGTTTGAAGGCTGTTCTGCCCAGAAGCAGCAAGAGAAAGTAAATGGTCTTCTAAATGATTATTTCATTTGGTTGCATGTGAACTCAATTCCCTGAATCAAAGGTACTAATTTTTAACTTGCTACTCTAACCAGCATTAATAACCAATGTAATTCTTACAACTACAAAATGAAAGAGGAGGAATAGTAGGGGAGCTGACATTTTAAGAGTGCACTTTCTCGCAATCATCACAATTCTTACTATTATAGTAAGTGGTAACTTGCCCAAGGCCACATGGCTGGATGTCAGAGCGGAAATTAGAACTCCAGTCCAGCCAAGGCCATCACACTTTTTCTCGGAAGCATTAACAATTCATCTCAGTGAGTTTTTATTGTGCAACTGTGATATTCTGAACTCACAGCACTAAGGATATAATGGAATAGGATGAAATTTTAGAGAATTAACGTTTTAAAAATGTTTTTTAAAAAATGTGTCTCTTCTGAATCTTTATAGTCAGAAAAAAAAAAGTATATGTGTGTATTTCTCTAATATTATCTTCCCCAAACTCATTTGTTTTAGGAAGCCTTCTTAGCCCATGGGTTACCGCTGTTAACTCCACAGCACTTATTCACATGTTTTCTCTATGTTGTTTCAGACAAGCTTGTTATTAGGTTCACAGTGCCCTCCTGCCTCTGTTATGTAACTTTTTCTGCTTCTTCCTCAGTGCCTTTCCCTACAGGCTCTGTGCACAGTGGGCTCTTAAATACAATAGACCCTGGACATTTGCTAGTATGGAGTTTAGTCTCAGTTATTAACAAGTTTTTCACATATCACAATTTCTAGTTTTCTTGGACTGTGAATTTTAATTTGTTCAGATGCTGTAAGGCTGGCACTTCCCACAAAGGTTGTGAATGACATAACCAGCAGCCCAACATCTCAGCTTCACTTGCATACTCTTTAAGCATTTGCATATGTATATTAAGTAATTCTTGAGAGGTGATTAAAATTTGGTTTCTTTTTTGAAAAAAGGCATTAAGAGAAAAAAAACTGGTAATATTGAAAAAGGGGTCATTGATTGTGTGGGATACACATATGACTCACTGGAGATCAAATACAAATATATAAATGTGGGACAGGAAAGAAATGCCCCAAATTGTACTGAATTCCAGACTTCCAAGTTTCAGGATTTTCAACTGAGAATATACCATGTACTTTTCTTAATGATTCTTAATGATTCCCTCATCTCAAACGGGGCATGTCTACACGTCAAAAAGCCAGTTTAAGCTGTGCTTGGTGGCTCAGCCTGTAATCCTGCACCTTTGGGAGGCTGAGGTAGTGGATTGCCTGAACCCGCGGGTTCGAGACCCGCCTGGGAAGCGAGACCTCATCTCTACAATAAATTTAAAAATCAGCTGGGTGGGGTAGCGCATGCCTGTAATTCCGGCTACTTGGAAGGCTGAGACGGAAAGATCGCCGGAGCCCAGCAGGTCGAGGCTACGGTGGCCGGGAGCGGCCACTGCACTCCGGTCTGGGCGACAGAGTGAGACTCCAACTAAAAAAAAAAAGCCTGTTTAGTCCAGTGTTACTTAACCAGGGCTATATAGCAGAATCACCTAGGGAGACTTAAAAAAAATACATATAGGAAGGCCTCACTCTAGACCTACTGAAAGATGGGATTAAGGTTAGGATATGTGCATTTTGCACAAGAGCATGAGTTTATTCTGATGAGTGTAATCCCTGATATAAAGAGAGATTCCATGAGAAAAAGCTACCTTTTAGCAAGGTCAGCTTGTTTAGTCCCTCTTTAGTCAGATGTGCTGTCATTCTGTATTTCTGGACGGCTTTAGGATGTGGTGTGTCGTGCTGTCCTGCTGTGTTGTTTGACAAAACAGTGATTTCCAGGGACAGTTTAATGCAAAATAATGTCCTTGAGTGACTCCTCAGAAGTTCAGGGATTCATTACTCATTTTGTGGATTATTGGACCTTTGTTTCTCTTCTTCCTTCTTTTATCTGTCCTTGAGAATTTTGTTCTTTAATACATCAAAAAGGGAAATAATTAAATACATTCAAATCAATTGAATATTTGCCTGAGTTCTTAAAATAGTGAAGAGGCCGGGCTCGGTGGCTCAGCCTGTAATCCCGCACTTTGGGAGACTGAGGTGAGTGAATTGCTTGAGCCGGGCATGGTAGCGTGCACCTGTAGTTCCAGCTACTCAGAAGGCTGAGGCGGAAGAATTGCCGGAGCCTAGCAGGTCGAGGCTGCGGTGGCCGGAAGCGGCCACTGCACTCCAGTCTGGGCAACAGAGTGAGACTCCAACTCAAAAATAAATAAATAAAAATAAAGAAATTAATTTTTAAAAAATACAAAAATAGTGAAGAGATAGGAGGATAAAGGTCATCTATGGTAAGAAGATAGTCACTGTTTGTTGTTCTGTTTGTTTACAATGACAAGCTTTCAGGTTTCTTTTGAGACCTAAGAGTACATTCTCCGACTCCCCCCCCCCCACAGCCTTCCAAGTAGCTGGAACCACAGACTTGCACCACCATACCTTGCTAATTTTTTTATTTATTGTAGAGACGAGATCTTACCAAATTGCCCAGGCTGGTCTCGAACCCATGGGCTCAGGGTAGTCCTCTTGCCTTGGGATTGCAGGCGTGAGCCACCGTGCCAGCTTCTTTTCTTTTCTTTTATCAGCATCCTGGGGACTAGAATGAACACTTTCTCCTTCTTCTGAACTCTCTTCTACTTTCTCTAGAGATCTGGGAGAAAATCAGAAGCTGATGTGAATTTTAATATTTGTAATTGCAGTAATCACTTAGGCGGGGTTAGGGGTTTGTGAACTGAAGGAAAATTAATAGGATGAAATCCAAAGAGGCTAAATGTCACACAGAAAGTCAGTGATAGTCTCTCCTAGAATACAAGTTTGGCTGGCTAGTTGAGCAGGGTGGGGTAAGGGCAGTTTTTTTTTTATCATTTTACGTTTTGCTGACTTCCAGTTTATAAAGATGCTGTCACTAAAGACTCATGGAATACAAAGAAGTGTGAGCTAGAGCTAAGTAGTTTTTTGTGCAGTCAGCTTATTTGCTTTTCTTAAATGGCACCTCTTGTTTTTAGTTGTGAAGTTCAGACATCTGATTTGAAAAGTGCGTTTATAAATGGAAATAATAAAAATCAGTCCTTTGCTAATGCTGTTTTCTTTCTTTCTTTTTTTTTTTCTTTTTTTGTTTTTGTCTCCTTTCTCTAGCATGAAAGACTTTCTAGGTAAGAACTCTCCCTGTTTTATATGCATGCTTATACTTGTGAGTGAATGCATGTCTAATTGAATGTAGCTTTATGTAACAGTTTAGTAGTATTTCTTACATCCTTTCCTTCCTTTTCATTTCTACAGCCACCACAATAATTCAGACTTTTGTTGTCTTCTACCCAAAGTAGTGGAACAGCTTTTCAACTTACGTTCCTGCCTCCAGATTCTCCTCTTTCCAATTCATTTTTTTTTTTTTTCTTTTTGAGTTGGAGTCTCGCTCTGTCGTCCAGACTGGAGTGCAGTGGCCACTTCTAGCCACCGCAGCCTCGACCTGCTGGGCTCCGGCGATCCTTCCGCCTCAGCCTTCCAAGTAGCCGGAATCACAGGCATGCGCTATCACGCCTGATTTTTTTTTTTTTTATATATTGTAGAGATGAGGTTTCGCTGCCCAGGCGGGTCTCGAACCCGCGGGCTCAGGCAATCCACTCACCTCAGCCTCTCAAAGGCGCGGGATTACAGGCTGAGCCACCGAGCCCGTCTCCAATTCATTTTGTATACTTCAACTAGATTAATTTTTTTCAAGCACCAGTGACCAGGCACCATGCTAGGTACTTGGAAAACAACATGAATAAGACACTATTTTTACCTTCAGTTAGCTTACATACCACTAGAGAGACTGATCATTTCAATAGAATGTGCTAGTGCCAATTAGAAGTGGGGACAGGTATTATGAACACAAAGAAAAGCAATTAACCTAATCAGGTGGTTCAAGGAAGCCTTCATTGCAGAGTAGAAGCCTGAATTAAAATTGAGTTTACATACTGTCATTTAATAGTAGATCCAACAAAATACATTATACCTAGATGGTGCTCAATAATAGTTTATTGAAGAATAAACTGAAGGCCTGTTTTGCAATTGCTGAAAATTAAGGAACCATATCAGTTTGGGAGATGACCCTCTGCAGTTTTTCACTTAGTATCTAAAGATACAAAACTGACCCGCCTGATGAAGAAAGTCAACAGATAAATAATAAAAACTGTAGAGCCAACACTTTGAATCTTTCCTTTTCCACTGTTTCTCTGATGGAAAAATTAAGAGATTGGAGGAAGATATAGTTATAAGATAGCATAGTAGGACAAATGCATTTTCTCATAATTTGTTTGATAATTGAACTGGTTCTGCCTTATTAATATATTCTAAATTTTACATATATTCTTCCTTTGCACTTTCACCAGGCACCAGCTGAGGACAAATAATTTACTTCTAACCAAGCAGAAAATTACTTAGTTTTGCAAAATTAGTAGAGAATGGCATTTTGCTATAGTTAATCTTCTGTGAACCCATTTTTATTATAATGACCATTTGTGAAAGGAAGCATTCCCCACCGACTTCAAAATATGCCATAAAACTGTAGTAATTAAAACAGTGAGATACTAGTTCAAGAATAAAGAGATATATGGAACACAATCCATAGCTCCCCAAAAATCATTTGTATAAGGTGACTTTTCATCTCATTGGGGAACAAATTATTCACTAAGTAATCACTGGGACAATTGATTATCTATTTGGGAAAATATATCCTTCCCTTAAACCATTCACAAAAAACAAACAAAAACAGATATCAAATGGATTATAATTTTTAAGAGAAAGGAGTTTTATTGTAAAAGTTAGTAAAAGAGACTATTTTATGATCTTTATATAAGAAAGACCTTTCCAAGCATAATACTGTAAAGGTAAAATTTGGCAAATTTAATTGTATACAATTTAAAATCTCTGCTGGTAAAAGACACTATAAACAGAGACAAAAAGTGAAGTGGGGGGAAAAAAGCTTGTAGCCTATGTTAGATAGTTTTAAAAGCTCTACTATGTAGTAGGCTACCCTAGCATAACAAGGAAAAGGTGATTACCCTACTGAATGAAGGCTATGAATAGCCAATTCAGAAGCAAAGATAAGTAGCCAAAGGTGTTGAATCTTCCTAATGATTTTAAAATGTTAAAATTAATAACAGTGAAGTATTATATTTCTCTGAATTGGATTGGAAAGGGGTAAACCTCTCTAGAGAAGAGTATGGCAATATATCTATATCAGCATTTAAAATATGTTTAGCCCTTGACCAAAGAGTTAGGCTTCCAAGATTTAGCCTAAGAAAGTATTTGGGCAGATGCACTAAGATTTATAAAGTCTGCTTATTGTAGTATTGTTTATAGTATCTAAAAAATTAGAAAAATATATGTCTATCAATAGAAGATTAGTTAAATAAATTATCATACAAGCATGTAGTGGAAGATTGCCGTCTTTTTTTTTTTTTTTTTTTGAGTTGTAGTCTTACTCTGTCACCCAGGCTGGAGGGCAGTGGCACACTCCCGGCCATCGCAGCTTCGACCTACTGGGCTCCTGCGATCCTTCCGTCTCAACCTTCCAAGTAGCTGGAACTACAGGCACACACTACCACGCCTGGCTAATCTTTGCTTTATTGTAGAGACAAGGTCTCGCCAAGTTGCCCGGATGGATCTCGAACCTGCCTCTCCTCCCAAAGTACTGAGATTACAGCTTTTTTTTTTTTTTTTTAAATAAGACAAGTCTGTTTACTTACATGGTAAGATGCTCACAATCATAGTGATAAGTATAGGGAGAAGAAGGAGTTAGACAACAGTGTTATCTGACTTTATAGAAAAATGTATTTTAACATATTTATGTATTTGACATTCTGCAAGGATATGAACTAAACTGTTAATAGTGATTATTTCTTAGGCAAGATTATAGAGTGACTTTCTACTTTAGGTAATTCAGTATTACTTAACTTTTTCTACAAGTATATATTGCTTTTATGATCTGGAAGGTAAATTTAGAAATTTCTATTAACCAAAAAGAAAAAAGAAAAAGAGTGTTGTGAATAATGTGGGACTTAGCATCTCTGTAAGTGAAAAGTGTTCATTAGTGTCATTAGGAGCTAATTACCTTGCCTCTCCCTTCTCTGTGTCATCCTTATTGCTCCTCTACTTCTTCTAGTACTTATTCCACACTCCTCCATCCCCTGTTATAGCAGTAGCAACCACAGGGCAGAGACATCAGATGCACAGTTCACAGCTGTCACTCTTCAAACATTAGAGAGCTCTGCAGGGCTGGTTTACACACAAGTTTTTGTTTGTTTGTTATTTTGAGTCAGAGTCTCACTCTGTCGCCACACAGCAGTTTTATTTTTTTTAATTTTTTTAATTTTTTTTTGAGTTGGAGTCTCACTCTGTCACCCAGACTAGAGGGCAGTGGCCACTCCCGGCCACCGCAGCCTTGACCTGCTGGACTCTGGCGATCCTTCCGCCTCAGCCTTCCAAGTAGCTGGAACTACAGGCACGCGCTACCACGCCCAACTAATTTTTGATTTATTGTAGAGTTGAGGTCTTGCCAAGTTGCCCAGGTGGGTCTTGAACCCGCAGGCTCAGGCAGTCCACTCACCTCAGCCTCCCAAAGGCATGGGATTACAGGCTGAGCCACCGAGCCCAGCTCATACAGCGGTTTTATATATGCCACATTTTAGTTTGGAAAGAGAAACATATGAGAAAAATATAAACTAGCATTAAGGACTAAGGCAATAGTTGTTTACGTAGGTTATCTGCTGAGAGAATCTTCCCTTCATAGACTTCCCAATACTGGAAATAAAATCATCACAACTTTAAGAGCTCAATTGCTAGAAGAGGTAGAAATTCTCATCACAGGCCTAACAGTCTTAATATGGAATATAGATAAGAAGGTAGAAAACTAGCTGTTAGGGTACTGTGTTTGTACCCCTGAAATGTTTGGGATTCCAGCAAACCTGTAGAGCACCTAAAGACATATGTAACATGCCTTAGTGACCATTTTACCCCATTCAACCTCTGGCTCATATCTCCAAGTCCATGTTTCTGATTCATTAGCAGTTTATTGTAATCATTTTCCAAGAGCCATTAAGATCCAAGAAACTTTTACTTTTGAAAGTACACTCTTCAGCCGGGCTCGGTGGCTCAGCCTGTAATCCCGCGCTTTGGAAGGCTGAAGTGAGTGAATTTCCTGAGCCCTCGGGTTCGAGACCCCCCTGGGCAACTTGGCGAGACCTCATCTCTACATTAAATCAAAAAATTAGCGGGGCGTGGTAGCGCCGCCTGTAGTTCCAGCTACTTGGAAGGCTGAGGCGGAAGGATCGCCGGATCCCAGCAGGTCGGGCTGCGGTGGCCGGGAGCGGCCACTGCACTCCAGTCTGGGTGACAGAGTGAGACTCCAGCTCAAAAAAAAAAGAAAGAAAGTACACTCTTGAGGGAAGCTGTTCAACCCTAAACAAATTTGAAAAGTTCTAAGATTTAAGTGAGCACATGGGTCCAAACCACCAATTTTTCAATAAGCTTCATTCTTGGCAAATTATGACCTGCCTCCCTTTCCAAACTCGTGCAGTTTAGCCTTGAGGTTTGGGAATACTGGCCGAGAGATTCAAAGAAGGAATGTTGCACGTTTTTTCTGGCCAGGACTCACAAATATGTTTTAGAAAAGGCGCAAACTACCCTTAAGCATCCCCTTTCCCCTACTACTTTGTTCTCAAAAATGATTTTTACCTTTAATATTATCTCCCATAGGTTGGAATCAGGAGGTAGTAACCCTACAACCAGTGATACTTACAGTGACCGGGCTTCAGCAAGAGCCCGTCGTGAGGCCCGGGAAGCCCGACTAGCCACCCTGACCAGCCGTGTGGAAGAGGACAGCAACAGGGATTATAAAAAAGTAGGGTCTTTTTTCAGTTGTCCTGTTCTTGGGTAACAACATGTAAACCTCTCAGCCTTTTCCTCCATTGTAAAAAAATTAGTGTAGTTCTAAGCAGAAGAAAAGGGCTTAAGTAACATTCCTCACAGATTTCTGGGTTCACTTCTCCAAACAGCTAAATAAAGACCCCTTCATATATTGTTCTTAGCGCAGTAAACACGTGACTAGAATCAGCTATTTAGAGGTTTAGGAAGAAGTAAGAAATTAGGAATTGTAAAAAGGGTAAAAAATCTAATGCTGTCTGAGTCTCTAAGATTCATTTGGTAGACTATTTTTTTTTAAACAAATATGTGTTTCTAATAAGTTCCTGTGAATATCAACTAAATACTTCTAGGTGTTAGCAAAAAAAAATCATTATCATCATCTGGGTTTGGAGAGGCTTTAAATCACTTTATAGTTCATTTCCTTTGGAGTAGACTTGAAAACCCTCCCTTTCAGTTGCTTATCAGAAAATTTTTTTTTTTGTTAAGAAAATGTTTGTTTTGTTAAGCAGAACTTGACTGAAATCAGCATACATACTAGGCTGGTTCTAAAATAATAATCCTTTTGTGTGGGAAGACATACTTTTAAGTAATGAATATACCCTATAGGAGAAAATGGAGCGACTGTTTTTGTCCCCCAGAGATTGACATTATTGAAGTTGGTGCATAATCATTCCCTTTGTGTTCATCACTTTCAAGAAGCAAGAGACCAGTTGGATGAATGTACTCTGCTCACTAGACTTCCTTCATCATCTTCCCTTCTTTACCACACAGTGGTGACTTGGGGCACAGAGCCCTAGGCATGTTCATTTAATGATTCAGTGTGAGTTTCAATTCTGGGAGCATTGCCTAATGGGTGACCTGATTCTCTTTTTTCCCTCTCCTAGCTCTACGAGAGTGCCCTGACTGAAAACCAAAAACTGAAAACAAAGCTTCAGGAGGCCCAGCTAGAGCTAGCAGATATAAAGTCCAAGCTTGAGAAGATGGCCCAGGTAAGGGGGAAGAAGAAGAAAAAAGATGGAAAACAGGGTGGATGTGAGGCAAAGTGAACTAGGGATCCAAGGGACAGGAAGTAAGATAAAGTCAAGTTCGGGCCTCCTCAGAGGCAGCAAGATAGAAGCCTCTTAGATTCTAATTTGATTTTAGGGTTCAATTAGTGTTTCTTAGTTAAAACTGGTAGTTCATTGAACAACTCTTGATGGTCTGAATGCGAATAATTAATATTGTAGATTGTTATCTACGTATTTCTTAGTAGAAGAAGAGTATAAATCAGTGCTACAAGGCTAGTCCTAGACAGTTTTTTTTGTCTTGTTCATCATGTTTCAGTTCCTCTTTATCTACAAATCAACTCTTGTAGAGCAATAAGCAAAGCACTATCAAACCTAGTACAGAAAGGTAGCAAATTAGGCCTAGAGAAATAACTGGTTTGCTTAGGTTTTATAACATCCCAAGGGTAAAGGCAGTGCTAGAACATAGGATTAAGTTTCAAAGCAAAGATTTTGTAGCATATGTTGTTTCCCCAAATCACTACGCTCTTTTGGCCTAGGAGTAAGGAACATAGTGGCAGAAAGGCCAATAAACCATTTCCTCTGACTGCCAGGCCAAACTTAATTAGATGATACTTTAGAGAATGCTGGAGGTAATAACCTCATCACCAGTGAAACAAACCCTACCGCTGAAAACTAAAGCCAGCACTATCTTAGGTTATTGCGGAGTTAACAGGAAACCTATTGAGTTATTGCCCTCCTAAAATGCCTGGGGACTAAGAATTTTGAAAGCTGAATGACTCTTTACCAGGAGGGCATGAAATGAAAACCAGAGGTGGTTAGTCATTCTGGTAATTTGATATAGTCCAAAAACAAAGACTAAAATGCTGGAGTTGTTTATGCAGTACCAAATACATGGGACTTTGGGGCAGGGGTGGTTGAGTACCCTCTAAACATCTTGTTGTAACCCTCCGGAATGGGATGAGCAAGGAGGTGCCAACACTTGGAATACAGCACCACAGAACTGCACAGGCTCCCAGCAAGGGAGCAAAAACACCCATACTTTCCAGAATAGGACTTGACCAGGCACAAAATGACCAGGCCTGTCCTATGAGCTGCCTGTCAGTTTGGAAGAGCCACCCCCCCATCTTCCTGGTTACAGTAGCCAAACATGGCTCTACTGAGGATTTCTGAGACCTACTGCAATGCAGATAGATAATAACTAGGCTTAAAGTGACTTTGTGGAACAAGAAAAGTAGGATTCTAAATTTAAAAGAAGAAATACACACACAGTTCTAACCCTGCTATGAGGCAAAGGATGGACTAAATAAACTTTAAGGTCTCTTCTCACCCAATATTACAGACCCAAGCAAAAAACATCTTTTCCCAGTAACTCTCAGGAGATACCTGGGGCAAATTTTTATTCTAAATAGTGCAACAGGTTGGCAATGGGTAATGAATACAGATCCTACACTGGTTCTCATCAGTTATTACTGGGGCCGTTTTATAAAAAATTAAAGAGCAGCCAGGTGAGGAGCCACAGGAAGAACACAGTTTCTCCTGCTACTCTTCTCAGCAGAAGCTTCTGACAGCATATGTCTTGACCTTTAGGGTTTCTTTGCATTCCTGCTACGAGCCCATGCCTCGTAACAGTGAGCAGTGTAACAAGCTGCTGACATCGACTTGCACAGAGGGCATTGAAAGTAAAATCAGCCTTTGCAGTTGCTAGGGAAAAGCATTTACTCTTCAGCCAACTGCTCTACTGGGTATGTCAGAATATACTTAGTTTTGCCAAATACAAGCTATTGCAATTCAGAAGAAATGGTGGTGCTACAAAACAAGTCTCTGCTATTTACCAAAAATGGAGTTGTTTGGCAGGACAGTGGAGAGAGGGCTTGTCAGCCTCACACTTTTGTATGGAGACAGTTACCACATGAATACATACAATGTTTTTACATAAAGGATCCACCCAAACTCTAAGCGGGGTCAAAGTTTAGAAACAAAGCAAACAAAAAACTAGTTCTTTATATATGTGACCCTTGAAAACAGCAAAATCATCACAGCTTCTACAGCTCCTCAGGCTTAGGAAAGAGAAACTTATAGGATATGAACAAGCTACAAGATCTATTTCTGCATTTTCTCTTTTCCTTCTGCTTTGTGGTGGATGCAGTTTTAAGGCAGACAGCTATGACCTTCAGAACAGAAGGTGAAAGCCCAGGACAGGAGCCAGAATTCTGAGTTTTACTGTTCTAGCTGTTCCCTAATTTCTTTGAGAAAAGAAACCTCAGTAGGAAGACTAGCATAATTTCTGTATTTATTAACTGTTGTCTGTGCATGGCATTAGACAAATAAAAATAATCACCTTGTAATTATTAAATGTCTATTGAATGTAAGAAATTCTGCTCAGTTCTGTAATGCTAAGGCGAAAAGGCACTTAAGGGTTTTTCATTCTGCTATTTGAGGAAAGGTTGTTACCTGAGATTATTCTTCTTTTTAGTTCATCTGCAGAATTTAAATTGAGAGTCAAAAATGATCAGAAATAAACCTTCTAAGTCGCTTATTCAAATAAAATCTTACCTTTTCTGGAAGCACAATATGAGGGGCGCCCAAAAAAACCTGGAATTGATTTAAAATATGCATATTTATTCTTACATGTTTAAACTTCAGTCACCTCCAAAGTACTCTTCATTTGATGCAATACAGCTATCGAGATTTCCACTGCTCAAACCGTTTTTGAACTCGGCAATTGTGATGCCTTTTAGTGCTTCTGCTCTTTTTTGTTTGACTTCTTCCACAATGGCAAAACATTTCCTTTGAGGACTTTTTTCATCTGGGGAAACAAAGTTGCTCTGGGTGGGATCGAGTGAATAGGCAGAGTGAAGCAAAGAGATCTTGCTGTTTTTGGTCAAAAAATGACGAACAGCGCGGCAGCTCAGCATGTAATCCCGCGCCTTGGGAGGCTGAAGTGAGTGGATTGCCTGAGCCCGCGGGTTCGAGACCCGCCTGGGCAGCGAGACCTCATCTCTACAATAAATCAAAAAATCAGCCGGGCGTGGTAGCGTGTGCCTGTAATTCCGGCTACTCGGAAGGCTGAGGTGGAAGGATCGCCGGAGCCCAGCAGGTCGAGGCTGCGGTGGTCAGGAGCAGCCACTGCACTCCAGTCTGGGCGACAGAGTGAGACTCCAACTCAAAAAAAACAAAAAAACAAAAAAAAAACTGACGAACACTCAGCATTGTGTTGGCAACTGTACTGTCGTGGTGGAAGGACCAGTTACCTATTTGCCACAACTCAGGATGTTTCTTTCTCAAATCATGATGCAACCTTCTAAAAAATTCCAGATAAAAAAACTGGTTGGCCATTTGATCCAGAGGAACAAATTCTGAATATACTACAAGGGGCTCTCCCTCCAAAAGATAATTTTCGTTTTGGGGGGATGGTCCCCAGTTGTATATAAAACATATGAAAATGGACCTGCTCTGTTCAAAGCAGGGCAGATGCCATGAACCAGTTCCTGTGAACCCCTGGAAGCCCAATCACATGTAAAAAACATGTGATTTTTTTTTACTAGCCAGGCTCAGTGGCTCAGCCTGTAATCCCACGCCTTGGGAGGCTGAAGTGAATGGATTGCCTGAGCCCGCGGGTTCGAGACCCGCCTGGGCAACTTGGCGAGACCTCATCTCTACAATAAATCTAAAAATCAGCCGGGCATGGTAGCACATGCCTGTAATTCCGGCTCCTCAGAAGGCTGAGGCGGAAGGATCGCCAGAGCCCAGCAGGTCGAGGCTGCACTCCAGTCTGGGTGACAGAGTGAGACTCCAACTCAAAAAAAAAAAACACTGCCCTAAGAGAAAAACAGCATAATTTCCCAAAACAGAATGAACAGGAAGAAAGGGGATTATTTAGAAGAGTGCCATGGGGCTTAGATATTCAAGTTCAGGAGTTACTAGTCTTTTAAAGAAGAAAAGCCATTTCTATTTCCTCTGGGTTGTGATATTACTCAAAGAAAGAAGAGGGGGAGAGGGTTGGTGAGATGTAAGAATGTAGTTGACATTGAAGACCTAGTGAGTAAGACAGAATGAGTGAGAGAGAGAGAGACAGTTGTGAGTAATGTCTTTGTAATTTCAAGGAACACTACTATTTCTCTCTAGTGGGAATCCTGCAAACTTCAGAGAGATGATAATGTTAGGCTTAGAGATTTGTTTCCTGGAGACCTCTGCTATAATGGAAGTCCAAAACTTTACTGTCTATTTCTGGATGTCTATTGATGAAGCTGAACTAGACTGAGCTTTCTTCTAGCCCTTAGACAACTTCAGTAACAACTGTTTTCCTTCAATTTGCACTAGCAAAAACAAGAGAAGACTTCTGACAGATCATCAGTGCTGGAGATGGAGAAACGGGTATGTGCAAGTCTCATTTCCCCCAGTTTCCTCTCTTCTGACTTTCTCTAACTTTGTTTTTCATGCCAATGGAAAAAGTTCATTAAGAAGGAGGGAGTTCTGCCACATTCCATTCCCAGCTTGATGATAAATTCCTTTTGTCTGACTCTGGGCAGTAATTTGATTGCTAGTCCTTTTGGCATCCTCAGATGGTCAACATTTTCCATATATTCCAGTCTTTGGGTGGGAAGGATCCTTGGAAGTTCACCTCATATGTTGTTCTGACTGTAGGCAGAACTGCACACATGCATATATCCATAACATGTTTTGGTTTACTGTAAATCATCACACACCCTCACACCCATGTCCAAGGTCTCCTTACCCTTTCCATCACCTTGAGCAGAAAGGAAGCTTTCAGCAGGACCATTGATTTAAGTCTTATGACTTGAAACATGAGCCAGCACAATCTTTCACTTACTCTCTGACTGAGGGGAGGATTTCTGGTTCAGTTGCTGACCTCTTCCCAACTGTACTCAATATTATTCTGGGATTTTATATTCTTGGACTGGGAAAATTCTATTAGATTTATTGATGGACCCTAGCTTTGATTTGACCCTAGGGAAATAGTATGTTCCCATCTCTCCTGTTGCTGCCTGTTATTTGGTAAGCTGCTATGTTTTGTATTTTATTCCTTTGGCCTGTAACCAAATGTTCTTGGTATCTCATCTGATCAAGGAGTTCTCATTGGGTTCAGGCTACTTCAAGAGTCAGTTGCTGGGACAGAGAACTGGAGGAGAAGGGAAAAACACAGGGGGAGGCATGCTGTTTCTTCATAGACAATGATGTCTACTTCTCGACTCACCATCTGCTCCCAATCATGAGAGAAGCAGTTCCCTAGGAATTTAGGGAGAGCAGTACTGATGATAATGATGCCTTTTTTAGCATAGAGAGCAAGGTCCCTAGTCACTGATAGTCATTTGAAATTCTATGAAATCTTCAACTTGTGCAGAATAACGGAGTACCCTGGTCTGTTACTTCTCCATATATCATCTAGTTTTCTGATAGAAGATTGAGATAATGTGATTTTCATCAGTGAAGTAGCTCTATCCCATAAGTGCCAGGATCAGAAAGTGCCAGCATCAGATATTGCTCAGATGTCCTGAGTAAGGTTTATATCAGTAGACAAACCCTTCCCATGAAGCTGCTGGTCACATGGCAGCTGGGAGGCCATATTTTTACTCCATTGTGAATTCATTAGATGTTCAACAGTCTCTTTGTTCCTAAACAGGAGAGGCGAGCCTTGGAACGGAAAATGTCAGAAATGGAGGAAGAAATGAAGGTATGAAGAGATTTTCTCTATGTTTATATGCCTGTACTCTGAATGCCTGCCAAGACTGAATATTTGAGCATAGGCCTGCCATCTCCAAATTTTGCTACAAACTAAATACCCTCAAGAAGAGATGATGAGCCGGGCTCGGTGGCTCAGCCTGTAATCCCGCGCCTTTTGGAGGCTGAGGTGAGTGGATTGCCTGAGCCCGCGGGTTCGAGACCCGCCTGGGCAGCGAGACCTCATCTCTACAATAAATCAAAAAATAACCTGGGCGTGATAGCGCATGCCTGTAATTCTGGCTACTCAGAAGCCTGAGGCGGAAGGATCGCCGGAGACCAGCAGGTGAGGCTGCGGTGGCCGGGAGTGGCGACTGCACTCCGGTCTGGGCGACAGAGCGAGACTCCAACTCAAAAAAAAAAAAAGAAGAGATGATGGTTGAAGAAGTGAGCACCTCTCCTCAGCCATTTCTTAGACTCTTTTTGCTCATACAACATCTATTAGTCCACCTCAAAGGCCTTCTAGGAACAAATGCTGCCTTTATTTAGGGGGAGATCTTAGTAGGCTAGAGACAAACCTGAGTTGAACTTTTAAGGTTTTTCAAGCAATGTCTTCACGCTCCAGAAGCTGAATGAAAAGACTTGAAGTTTCCAGCTCTGGAGAGCCTACCATTAGGCGCTTGGGGAAGCTTGAGCATGGCTGGAGGTTTTCTTCCCTAGTGCCCTTTGCTGGAGGAACACAGATTGAGTCATTCTGCAGCAGAATAAAAATGTATTCACATACTGATTTCCTGCTCCAATCCATTTCCCCTGAATATTCAGTAATGCTTGGCACTCTCCCACTAGAATAAGCTCATGCCACCAGATACGCTTCACAGATCACTGCTTTCCTCTCTCTCCTCCTCATGACCTGCAGTGACTATCACCTCCATTCACTACTTTAATGGACAACTGCCATCCTGGCCAGCTTTGATTGCTAAGAACTGTCAGTCTACCCAAAGAAATCAATTTGCTGCTATGGAAGGAAGGGGGATAGAATGCTGCAGGGAACATAGACCTACCTGGTCAGTGTAGCCACCTGGATCTGATTTTGAAGCATCTGATTCCTGCAATGCATGATGCCACATGCCCACAGGCACTTAGCACTTTCTCAGCTTTTTTTTTTTTTTCTTCAAGGATCTTATTTTACTGACTATATGATGTCAAGCATTCATCTGGTAAGACATAGATTTCTTCAGCTGAGAAACTGAGGCACTAAAACAGTATTAGGCAGATCCCCAAGTGTCTTTCTATGAGCAAGCATTCCTGATATGCCATTGGAACACTTTGGGAGAAACATTTATTGTTCCATTGACCTAAAGAGGTTAGTTATTTACTGAAAAAGAAAAAAAAAACTTTTTAAGACCTAACAAAGTTGTAGTTTACTACATAAGCTCCAGTGCTCATAATCCTGTTACTCCTTAAATTTTCAGAATGAAGGAGAAATGCTAAGCCCTGCCCCTGTATTTCTTACCCACTATCCCAAGGCTGTAACTGATAACATTCACATAGAATTTCAAGCATTACCTGCTTGTATTTCAGACATTTTAAATCTTTCAAGTTGATTCAAAGAGCAAGTAGAAATAGTAAATATTTGATTCTTCTGAGATGATAGAACAGTATGTCATAACACCATTAAACTTTTCCATCTTCTGGTTCTTTCTCACAGAAGTATTCTCTCCCAGCAGTAAGTTAGTAGAGCCAAACAGTTATTTTTGTTTGTTTTTTAAGAGACAGAGGTCTCTGTCTCTGTCGTCTAGGCTGGACTCAAATTCCTGGGATCAAGCAGTCCTCTTGCCTCAGCCCCCTAATTATGTGGAACTGCAAGTGTGTACCACTGTGCCTGGCTGAGCTAAATGGTTCTTGATGAATAAATATCCACAGCTCCTTGTTGCATGGGGGCTCCTCCATTTTTAAAGCCCCCTGAGTTATACCATCTATACTCTGATGTAAGGCAACTGTCAAGGATGCTTATTAAGGAATGGCCTAGGTGCTGATCTGGAACAAGTAAATGAAACCAAAGCTGATGCCTTCCAATGAGGCTCCAGGAGCCCAAAGCCAGCCTATACCCACTTCTCATGGGACTCTGGGGTCACATCTATGCAGGCCCACCCACAAAAACGGAGAAAGTGGCCAAATTGGAGAAATTGATGTTCTTATTTCTTTTTGGAGTCCCACTCTGTCGCCCAGACTGGAGTGCAGTGGCCGCTCCCGGCCACTGCTGCCTCGACGTGCTGGGCTCCAGCGATCTTCCGCCTCAGCCTTCCAAGTAGCCGGAATTACAGGCATGCTCTACCACGCCCGGCTGATTTTTTGTAGAGATGAGGTCTCGCTGCCCAGGCAGGTCTCAAACCCGCGGGCTCAGGTAGTCCACTCACCTCAGCCTCCCAAAGGCGCGGTATTACAGGCTGAGCCACCGAGCCCGGCTGATGTTCTTATTTCTATCCCAATTTTAACTTAGGGAGTACAGAAGCCTTTTCAGTAGTTTTAGTTGCTATCAGTCCCATGGGTTGAGACAGGCTTACATGTTCTCTCCCTCTCTCTATCCTATTAAGCTATGCCTTTTAAAACTAGGTCGTGAGTTCTATTCTTTCCTCAATAGAGATTAAAAACCATGCAAGTGTTTGTTCTCCGCAGCCATAAACCATTTGCCAGCAACTCTAAAATCAATTGTTTAAATTATCAAGTGGAGCCAGATCATGACTGTTTAGCCCCCAAACCAAAAAAAAAAATCTACTCATTCAGTCACTTGCCACTATTCTTCATTATCCATTGCAAAGCCAAATAGAGAGAAGAAGACACAAGTTTTAAAGCCCCTAAACACCATTTACTCAAATCAAAGCCTAATACCAGCTTTGCAAATTGTTTAGCACCCCCTAGAGGACTAAGGGTGAGGAGCATCATAGACTCCCCAATCACACCAATTTTATGGTTCTGTCTGTACCCTACTTTGAAGGCAAAAACTTCAAAATATAGATATGACTATTATAAAATTGATGTGATGGGTCCTAAAAGAAGTCTAATAAAATGCTTATTTTGCTCACAGGCTTTTCAACCAGACTATTATTTATGGTGACCAATGTCTCTAGAGTGATTAGTGGTCAAAATCTCTGTGTACAAGTAGCTAGCCAACAGTACAAGTAACTGTCTTGTCGAATCTGGGACCTAGTAGAACTTAGGATAAGTTGGTTTGCTTGTTGCGTATTCAGTTTATATAGATGCTCAAACATCCTTGGAACAATCAGTAAGGAGCTGTTTGGATGGTTGGAGGGTTTGGACCCTTAAAAAAAATACAGTAGGTGCTCAAGGACAGAAAGTGACTTCAGTACTTTTTTTCCTGTCTCTAGCAAATAAAGTACAAAGGTCAGGTGAAATGGGGGAACTATGAGATGGGCTGACCCAGATGTATGGGTGACTCTATGGTTGTGAGATGTGTTGTGTTTTTCTGGCCTTTCCTTGCCAAGGTAAGTATTTATGAAATCTCCCCATAAAAAACTCCACCCAGATTCTGGATTGGAGTAGGATTATATGTTAGCTTCTGACAGATGTGCATGTCAGTATGAGCCGTGCCAGGCCTGCACTTCGTCTTGGGATGTGTTCACATCAGACGTAATTACTTCTCTATTGCATACTCCATTGAGCATCAGCCTCCTTGCCAGACCCTCTGCCCTTCCTTTCCCAGGTCCTTGCATGAGGGAGCCCCGTAGCTAATCCTTTTTTAGGTTGGTCCTGAAATTTTAATTTTATCTTGGAAATATCATGAGCCAACCCTGACCCTTAGCCCTGCCCTTGCCCACCCTGCCCTATGCCCTGCCCTGCTCTCTTCTCCTTGTCATGCCTTGTTTTCAGTGCTGCTTTCCATAGAATATTCTACCATATTATTTCCTGCCTCTCTCCCTCTTGCTGATAACATCCAAATTCTTTCACCTCAATCTACTTGTACTCACACATTAGATTGAGTCACTTTCATAGTTCATGTCTTTAATATTATTTCCTGAGGGGCAAGAACCACTTCAAATAACGACAATGATTGTTTTGAAAGCTTTGGTCCAATGGCAATGTTTGTGTTGATAACTTTGGTCCAATACCAAAGAAGGGTGAGAGCCAGGGACTTTCCATTGGTTCCTAAATTTGCTCCCTGCTTATCTCTAAACTCTTCCATGTGCTATTCCATGATCTCCCTCCTCTGTCTTCTCCATGACCAAGAAGCTTATAGTAGGCAGAGGATTGCCCAGTTCACGCCCTTCCCCACCCCCCTCCCACCAATGGCTACATGGAACTGTTTGGCTGCCTTATCTTTTTTCCAAGATGGTCATTCTCCGTCTTTGGGGAAAGAGAAATTCAGCAGTTTGTCTTTGCTTGTTTTTCCTTTTCTCTGCTTTTTTCCCCTCATGCCACCTTTCATTTTCTTGCTTTTTCACTCCTAAACAACTATAATTCCACTAATCTTTCATTTCTATCCTTCCATCATGTGGATATAAGAGACTTTTCTCTGCTATCTGACCATCTTTTTGTAGTCATTATAACTCACAAGATTGTCCATCCTCATCTATGAAACCCCATTCACATAACAAAATCAAATTCCTCCTCCCAGAGAGCTGGTGGTCTCAGTTTCAGGGACAGCAGATGACCACTTAGGAAGGAGAAGTAGCAGAGTAGGCAGGCTTGTGATATAATTTCATTTATGAAATTGTTGAAGTCTTTAAATCCCTTATGGAAGTCTGAATCCTTTATGGAATATGGGGTATTAGGAACAATATATGTGGACTAGTTATTGTTCCATTTGTAACACTGACAGACAGAAAAGGCTTGACTAAGCACATGTCCTAGCCAGTTCTATTATCACTGGACATTTATGATTTCTCTAGCTTTGTGCACAGCTATAACTTCCAGAGTATGCGTCTGTTTGTGAACACCTTTGAGCAGCTCCCAGCCTCTGCATGAACTGGGACAAGGAGAGCACAGTTAGCTGTG